TGGCGCCCCCGATCGATGCCCTCGGGACACAGCCCGGGTGTCGATTCCCGTGTTTTTTCTGCATAAGACTGCAGGGAGATATAAAAAAGAATAAAATAACGTGCGCAAATGAATCTTCATCCCAACATGCTGCTTGTTCTGTATTGTTAAAAGATTTTTCTCCTCTTGACACCAATTTTTTTTTTTCCGAAAGGGGGGGTTCCCTGGAAGAATGACGAAGTCTTTGTCGTCGTGGTTGGGGTGAAACGTATCGAGATGGCTTTTCTCTGGATTTCAATTCAGTACCTGATGCATATCGTGAGAGCACTGCAGAAATTGAGCTGTGTATCATGATATTCATGATGGAAAGTGATTTTTTTTCGCAACGCGTTTTTCGTCGCTTTTTCAAGGTTAATATAATTTACATGCTCTTATGTAATTCACTGCACAAAAATATATGTCATGCAGGATACGTGAGTTCTCTCGCGAAATTTTCACTCCCCAAAAAATAGGCCTAGTATTGTTTAACTTATTTCCCCAAATATAGTGGTTAGGTTCCCATTATGATAATTTTTTAAAGAGAAGATCAAAGATTCTCATAAAATTAATTGCGGAAAACTCTAACTCCATTTACTGACACGTAACTCCTGAAAATGTGGGACGAAATCGTCAGGGATTAACGTAAGAGAGGAATTATTCAAGGAAAAAGAAGCAACACCATCCAAGGTGACTTCGCAAGAAAAATCAATGAATTGCTGAGAAAAAATTATTCAATTTATCTGACGATTGATTATCGTAGGCATTGTCTGAAAATAGTGATGCGGCTTATACCCGAAAACTATAAAAGTTCATTCTAACGTAATGCGGATTGCATTTGAATGAAGGATGGAATAAATTGTACCATTGATTCAGGGGATAAAATGCCAAATGAAACTCAGTTTGAGTGAAATTAGGAGCAAAGTTGAAGCACACTCTGGGAGGTAATCTGAAATTGTAACTCAACATGACTAATTTCAGGCAATTGATTTTTCTTAACGTTGGCCTGAGACACAAACACGTTTGGCACAACTTACAGTCAAATCAAGATATGTATTTCATTTTCATTTTGGACATTTGAATTTCAGGACACGAGTTATGAAAGCAACAAAAAATCTTGATTTCTTTAGAAAAAAATTCGTCTAAATTCCACAGGTTTTAATGGGACCCACGACTTGAATTATTGAACTGAATCATGATCTCATCTTCAGCATCGTTTTAAATTTATGTCGAAATTTTCCACGACTGCATCGTGCATACCCAATGGCAATCCCTCAGAAGTGTTTTTCAATAATCTGTAGAAATAATTTTATTATGCCTGCACTCCCGAACTTGAAGTAACTTTTTTCCAGAAAACGTGACATGAGACCAAATCCGCAGAATCAGAGAGGCTTTCTGTTAACCTCTCTGGGAAATCGCTTCATCGATTCTCCGGGAGATCCGGGACCGTCTGGAGCATTTTTGCACACTTTTTTGAGTGAAAATTCTTCGGGGGGCGTAAGATTTATTATTTTTTGCTGGCCTCGATTCATGAGAGGCCTGTGTGTTCTGTATATTGAGCGGAAATCAATTTCTCTGATTGAGCGCCGGGTGCGATCAAGGAACAGCGTGAGTCAGCAATTCAACTCAGGCCATATAAAACGAGCCGATTGAGACTGGTTCAATTTTCAAAGCAACCAGGAAGAAAGGCGGGGATCGTCGAGACGATTTCGCCTTGAACTGGAATAAAGCCCGTGAAACATAAATCATGGATTTAAACCCGAATAACTCGAGCCACGGGAATAAGAATATTCATGCAAAAGTAGATATATCCAATCCAATCTCTTTGGGCCCGCGAATAACCCGACTGAAGATGCTTTCATTCCATTCGGATCAAAAGGAGAAACCCAGGATGAAGACGAGGTTTTTTTTCTTCTTTTTTTTTGCATAACGCAAGTGACTGAAGCAACTTCGACCGCTTTCAGGAATATTAACTTTTCAGCATCGCGCTTATAGTGGTTTTTCTTCTTTTTCTTTTTGTGTTACGAGATTGTCAGAGAGTGTTGCCACTTATTCAATCAACGAGTGTATGTTTGATTGAACACTGTATGAAACAGCCTCGACACTCGAGCACGAATTATGTGTTATTTTTAACACACGAGGTTCAACTGTAAAAAAAAAAAGTTAGATAACTGATTGAATCAGTCGTTTTTTTTGTCAAGAAAATTAAAAGGCGTCTATGAGCCCGAGACAAGCAAGAAATTTTGTGGGAATTCTCCATATTAAACTTTTCTCGTTAATCCCAACACATATGTTTTTATCGTCATATCAAACACACACTTCCCTAGCGATACAACTTATTGATGACTGATTTCGACTATTTTAATTTTTATCCTGATATAGTTTTGATCGGGCATGAATCCACTCGATACTGAAATAATCTGGTTTGGAGAGGCTGTGATTGACTGAACATTGTAAAATTGAAGAAAAAATTATAGCGCCTGGTTTTTCTCGAGAATTCCAGGAAGGTTTTACAGTCTGTTGAGGCTTTCATCAGTTTTCTGAGATTTCGGGTTTATTGCGTAATTGGATCTTGATGAACAAGATTTTGGCACGATTCCCCGACATGATTGAATTACTGCACAAAATCTGAGGCATGAAAGTATGACAAGTGAAGGACCCACATAGTTGGCAAACCACCATGTGCTTTCTTTGAGGCCGGTCAGAGTAATATGGAAACACAAAGCCTCGGGGAAATTGTTGGTGAGTGATGATGGTGAGGGGACGAAGAGGTCCTTGAAAAAGAAATGATCCATAAAAAATCCATTTAGGGAAAAATATTCTCTGGAAAATAATGTTGGGTATAAAAATCTCGGCGGCGCAAAAATCTTGCTAAGTACCAACAATCCTGCTGGATGCAAAAGTTATTAAAAAAGATGAATTCGAAATTTCATAGGGTTATTTTATATCAGCTTCTTAAAACCTTTGGTATTAATTCGCTTTCACAAGTTTGCAATGACTTTATATCCATTTACGAACTAATGTGATCACATCGGGGAAATTTTTCTCCGGGAATTTCTCCCCAATATCTTCGAAAATTCTCGGGAGATTCATTTTGCTCTGTTGGAATGTCTTTCTCAGGAGCATGTCGAAGATTCAGCCTTCAGCAGAACTTTCAAAAAAAATTGTTTTAATGCTTTGCAGGAAAATTGTGCCATTTTCCGCCGAAACTCTCAGTACATGGGTCTAAATAAACCGGGTTTCGCGTGAAAGAGAGCCAAACGCTAGAAGGGTTCGCTAAGGGTTGCCGTGGTTTCATCAAAGATGATTTTTCGTTGTGCTGAAATGGCAAGAATTTCTTTTGTGCTTCGTCGGCACATCCCTCATTTATCCCGGCTTTGTGTACCTCAGCTTTCCGAGCGAAAGGCTTTCGGAAAGGTCTTACACACCTTGAGAGTGATCAGGGAGTGAATTTCTCCGGGGCCCGTGGGTGCTTTTCGTGTTATACCCGCTCAAACCGATAAGAATAAGTTGAGAGGGGATTTACTTCTATATTTAGAGGGAACACGTTATTGACATCTGCATCCCATGGCAACCATTCTGGGTTCTCCTGATTTTTTTAGGTGGGAAAAGCACGCGGACAAAATACCGCGATGGCATTTCGATATTTTTTTTTCAAAGGTTCCATGATTAGGTTATTTCAAGCCAGGGTGAACAAAGTTCGTTTAAAGTTTAAAATATTTCGTGTTTATTTTGAAATCGGGTTTTTTTGTGGTAAATTCAGTTTCTTTGATGATTGCTCAAGAGTGTTGCTCTTGGTTTTTTTTTGCGTTTCATACATTTGGTTTTTGCGTTATTATTGCAATAAAGCAGTTTGCCCAACCCGTGGTCCACAGACCGGGACTGGTCTGCAAAAGTTTTTTGCTGGTCCCTGGAAAATTTTCTTAAGCATAATAAATTTATCAGAACTATCAATGAAGGATGTTACGGTATCTTTATCCCAAATTTTTTGCAAGAAAAATGCAGTTAAAATTATCTCATGAAAAAGAAAAGCTGGCTTTTATCCTAATAACACTTGAGACAAATTTTCACCTGATGAAATAAATTACTTTAATTTTTCATTCTGATAAATTTTTTTCAAGCTCATTTTTCTAATTATTTAAAGACATTCTACTGTACCTGGTTCATTGGTTCATTGCTTATGTACTTGTATTTCAATCGATTTCGATTTTGCGATTTTCAGTTGGGGTTCTCGTCTATGATTTATTATGACAGAGAATTACTCCAATGCCTCTTCAGGCAGTCCATGTGACCTCTAAAAAAAACCTGCGGGTTTTTTGTGTCAAAAATAATTCAATACGGTGCATTTTGGAAATGAAAATTATGAATTCTAAATCATCCGGCATTCTTGGGCTTCGATAAAAATTTTTATTTTATTTTATCCAATCGTTACGAATAAAAGGAATGCATCAATTGTGTTTTTGTCCATTTTAGCTCCTTTGAGGATATTATTTCTCTTGGTAATGTTCATGGCAGCCTCGCTTCCAATAAGAGCACAGGGTTCAAGATACCCTCGGATATTTGGCCAAATATCACGACCTTTGGGCATTCGTGTGAGGCTTACGGGGTCATGTCGCGAGGTTTAACTTTATTGGAGTTCAATTGGCCAAATCAATTTCTACACGCTGCGATCGAGGGTTCCACTCGCACGAGCTAACCACCATCCATTTTCACGAGGGTCTTTCACAAGTGCCATTCATCTTTATTCCTGGAAATGTGAGAAAATATTTTAGAAATTTGCGGATATTCCCTTTTCCGAAATGAAATTATTTTTTGAGTATTTGACATTTGAATTCCGTCTGTTGATAACGTCTCGATGTATCTTTGCGGATTATTATTTTTTCCCCAGCGAACAATTCGACCTTATTCTGAAAAAAGTTTTCTACGTTTAAGAAAATTATGTGCAATTACGTGTAATTAATGTTTTGGTTTTTTTCGATTTTTATCTATCAGGGCGGAGTCGGATGGACCTATGCGAAAGGTGCATGTCGACAGGACAGGAAAGATGGTCGGACTTTCGTACTTTGGCAGGGTAAGTTTAGTTCTTTCGGCGACTTCTTATAGGATTAGCAAAATCAACTGTTTTTGTAATTCTTCGTTTTTTTCGGTAAAAATGCTGAACTCAAAAACTCCGTAAGTTGAACATTTTTGGCTGTGTGTGGCATTATTCCCTATACATCCATAGGCATTTCTGTTCCCATGGCCTCTGAATAACTCGTTATAACGGGCATCTTTGTAAGTCCTTATAAGGGGATTCCAATGAACTCACCAAAACTGAATTTTTGCCAGCGTATGTACCGTATTTTTACTCAAGTAAGACGCGCATCTAATTTTCGGTTACTTTGAAATTGCATTATATTTTGAAAATGAGAGCACTCACATTTGAATTTGGACATGAATTAAACCTGAATCCAAATAATGTTGAATGGTTTCCTTAAAAATGAGTTTTTCTGGTGAAAAAAAAATGTTTGTAAATTTTCCAGTAGAAGTTAGTATAATGTACAAGGGTTGTTTCATAGATTGTAGTCAAAAATCCCCCCTCCCCCCGTTCATGCCAAAAAATCAGGGATTACAGGCATTCTTGTAACTCTTGATTGTAAGCTGTACCTTTCACCAGCAGGATTTTGGTTGGGTAGCGTTTCTTAAGTCTTGCGACTATTTCAAGTAGATCCAACACGGCTTGATCAATTAAAAGAACTTGGTTCCTCCCAAAATTGAGAGGAAAAATAAAAACGGGAGACCGCGTCACAAGCGGGTATAAATTTTTAACACTTTTTGAGGTTTAGGTATACGATGGTTGCTTCATACGTCTTGCGACTATTTCAAATAGATCCAACACGGTTTGGGCAATGAATTTTTTATTTTTATTTTTTACTCACATAACCTCGTCACGAGGCAACACTTCAGAGCTGTTCAACGTTATGTCCGCCAATTTCAATGCTCTTCTCCATGCGATAAAATGAAGTTAGACTGAAATATTCCTGGCGCCACTGTTTTGATCGTTGGATTTATCGCGTGAAAAAGTGCATTGAAATTGTCGGAGAGTATGTTGAACAGCACTGAAGTGTTGCCGCGTGACGAGGTTATGTGAGTAAAAAAAAAAATTCATTGCCCAAACCGTGTTCGATCTATTTGAAATAGTCGCAAGACGTATGAAACAACCCTCGTATATACATAAACCTCAAAAAGTGTTGAAAATTTTATACCCGCTTGTGACGCGGTCTCCCGTTTTTATTTTTCTTTTTTTCCTCTCCATTTTGAGAAGAAAAAAGTCCGCGTGGTTTTTGAGTAAATATACGAGTACATGAACATCTGAACGAAATTTCGAAAATTTTCAGCGAGTAGTGCGAGAAATGAACAGGATTGGGATGATCGTGGACCTCAGTCACTCGTCCCTGTGGACAATGCAACATGCCCTTGAGGAATCCACTGCTCCGGTCATCTTCTCGCATTCCGGTGCCCAAGGCGTTTGCAACAGCTCCCGCAATGTCCCAGACGACATCCTTCGCCTCCTGGTGGGCATTTATTGTTGCATTCACAGCTATTTAAATACAGTGAGACCCCCACACATGTGGATACCTTGACCTGGGGACAATCCGACATAGGGACACTTATTTTCCCGTTAAAAATTTATAAATTAGGCCCAGCATGAGGACACTGACTCGAAATATGGACATTATTTGTGATAAAATTGCAAATAGATTTCAAGCCAAATTACAAGAGAACGACAATTTTTTTTATTAGCTAAATGGAGGGTAAATTGAGAGGAATGCCAAAGAACTTTTCTTGCGTCAATTTCAGGTTTGGAATGCCAAAGAACTTAGCCTAAAATTGACGCAAAAAAAAGTTCTTTGGCATTCCTCTCATCAATTTGCCATCCAGTTAGCTAATCAAAGAAAATTATCTCCAGCATAGAAGGAATTCCTTCTCTCTTTTTTTCACTTGAATGTTTTTTTTTACAGAGAAAGCCAAAATTTGTATGTACTGTACAGAGATAAAACTCCTCAATGCTCCAAATGTTCATTTTGTGTTGAAAGATATTGATTGAATCAATTTCAATTGAGAGACAATTTTTTCCCAGCAACATTATGAGTATTTTGTCCATAAAACACAGATTAAAATGTATATAATCCAAGTCTGAAGGAAATTGAGACTCAACTTAGAGACATTTTGACTTAAGGACACTCTTGATGCACCAATTATGTCCGCATCTTGCGGTCTCACTGTATTTCTAAATGTATCTCTCTGAAGAAGAAAAAATGTATTTACGATGAGTCCTTGAGCCTTTCCAAGTACTCCCAATAAAGCGAGCTCAACCTTCTACAAATAACGTGCTACAAATAACGTCATTCATGAGATACACCCTGGCAATCAGAATAAAACATGTCCAATACTCATTCGAAGGAATGTGCCTCCGCAGATTGAGCTATTTGATATGACGTCAATGATTTGCTTCAATCAGCGCATTACCATTCCTGAATAAACATCAGAAAAGTCAGAGGTTTTCGTCTTTTTTTTTTTTTTTGCCTTCGAGACAGCACGAGGAATCAATGTATTTTCTTGCCCGATTTTGCCAGGAAAGCATCGACATATTTCTGCATCATGCAAGTTTTCGTCAATAATTATTCAATTTTAAAATCACAGCGAATATGTATAGATTTTCACGTCTGATGAATAAAGTAATTTTTACTCTATGTGGATTTTTTAGATGTTTATCGGCATTAATTTTTTAGAAGTATCCATAGGATAACTTCAACTAATTTGAAAATTCTTATTTGGAAACGGTTTTCTTTGTGAATAAGAAATGTTTCTTGGTCCCGTTCGTTTCCGTTTTAAATAGCAGAAAAGTCCGAGGTCATCGTTCTTTTTTCTTCGTTCGAGTCAGCAGGAGAAATCAATGTACAGTACTTTCTTCCCCGATTTTGCCAACCAAAAGAAGCATCGTCATTCAGTATTTCTGCATGCAAGTTTTCGTAAAAAATTATTTAATTTCACAAAATCACAGCGAGTACGTACGGATGTTTCACAACTGTTGGATAAATAAAGTTTGACTTTATGTGGATTTTTTGAATGTTTGCCTGCATTAATATTTTTAGTGGCCATATGGTAACTTCAATTAATTTAAAAATTCTTACTCGGAAATAGTTTTCTTTGTAATACGAAATGTTTCTCGGACCCCTTTAATTCCGTTTTAAATAATTTCGCTTGCATTATTTTTGCCCAGCAATTTTCCAAGGCCACGCTTCCATGAATATAATATGCACTTGTAGTATATGAATCCCCCAGCACAATGGCATGCAAATTGCAAGGAAATGTAGGTTAATTGGAAGGATCCACATACCAGCTGGTAATTAATCGATGCAGGTATTTATATTGATTATGGTAATTAATCAATATTCATAGCGGTTCGTAATATAATCAGACGATAATTTTGCAGAAATGTTAGCCTTCTCTTGTTGAAAGTAGAGGATTCCAGACAGATGATAACCGAAGTATGATGCTACCGTTTTAATGTGTTATTCAATGACATAAAACTTTCAGATTTCATAAAATATGAGTAAACCGAATGTCATCAGGACGCTTCCTTCAATTTTTTAAAATTAGCTTCTGAATTTTGGAGCCATATGCGGGAATATTACAAAAAACCCGTCATACAATATTCAATCCATTTTATTTCAAGGAGCAATGTTCGACATCTTGGAGTATGGAAATGATCTGAATTGTATGAAAGAATGAAAATGAGATTGAAATACTGTACTGTGGTATTTGAAGCTACATCCAAAAAAAATTCCTCATAAGACGTAATTTTACCACTTCAATGTGCATTCTGAATTTCCATCACTCTTGAGTCTTGAGAGACTTGAAATTACAACTTATACATTTTAATTCACAACGATGAAAGGTGTAACAACACATTCTCGTTGATGAACAAATTGAACTCTCCATAGCGGAATATAGACCGGATTAAAATGTTTGCTAATTAAACATTCCACGTAAAATTCCTACCAATAATTTATAAAGAAATCTATTCAATCCGTTCGCTGATTTTTCAAACAGTATTGAGACTTCCACTCGTCATCAGTTTATATAATCCAATAGATGTAAATCGTTTCAGTTGCTTCTTTTATGATTTGTCAGAATAATATAAGCTTCAATTTAGTCATTTACTCGCTTTCTTGAATATTCGAATGAAACCTGTCCAGCAAAGTGTTCTGCGTCCTGCCACGAACTTTTGGACATGTCGTGTGGTCACCCGCGTCCGTCGGTGGCCAACAATGATCGCCTTTCATTTGTTTCTACTTCGGCACAGCTGCAAAAAATGAGCAACGCATGAAAGCAAGAACAACGAAAACTGCAACGAACAAACAAAACAAAAAACCTTTTCTGTTGTTGGTTGCAGGCCTTGAACGAGGGCATTGTCATGGTCCCGTTTTACCCGCCGTTCGTGTCCTGCTCCAGCGCTGCGACGATCCGAGACGTCATCCGTGAGTGATTCCTGCGAACCTTTTTTCAGCAAGGGTCCGACAGAAAGATACGCCAAAAATCGCGCATTTATATGTATTGATCTATAGTTCTTCGATTTGAGCGAAAATTGCTGCGACTTCAAGTTCCAAACTTATTCCGCCTTGAAATTCTATCCTTCGAGTCTGCCTAATTTAAAATCACACTTCGGGAAATCTTCATGATCGTCATATTATTATTTTTTTTTCTTGCAGCATATCACAACATGTCTGCTTCTTTGGGAATTTAAGTAGATGTCACCTCAACTACTACAACATTCACTTTACTGTAGTGTGCAGGTGGTGACCCGCAATTTGACCCTAATCCGTTACTGGACTAGGGTCAAATTGCAAAGCACCATCAAATGCAATGTGTTCTACATCATATTTGACATTTTTGCCCATCTCTGTGGGTCGAATTGCGGGGCCTAGGTCAAATTGTGAGTCAACCTCCCAGCAAATTTGACCATCAAATTGCAGGATGGTCAAATTGAGGGAGTTTGAATTGCGAAGTACCAAATTTATAGTGAACGTCTCATTCTGTTTAGATTCAAGGAGATTATACGAATAGACTGTTTTTTTTAAACACAAAAATCCCCCAAAACTAATTTCAAGCCACCCTTGAAAATACAGATCTACTTCTTTTGCCGAATCTTCCAAGAATAAATGCATATTTTAAATAAATGATCAAGTTATTATATTTCCCCGACCAAAAATAACCTGCATTTATACTAAGATAACATAACCCAGCAGTGAATCGCAACCTGTCCTCCGCGTGAACGTAATGGTTCTGTGGACATACGTGGAACCCTTTGGCCAATGAAGCACAAAAGTATTTTTTTGCAATCGAAGATGTACAATTTCGGCCTGCAAGTGATGTTCTAGCAGCACTGCTCGGGTAAATTTGAACGGGTAAATTTGAATTATGATGATCCAAACCATATTACGTGAGGCATGGGGTAAGTTTAGGGGGCTACCGTTTAAAGAAAGAATAAAGACGTAAGAAAAATTCATGGTATGAAAAGAGTTCAACGAGTCAAAAAGTCGGACAATTGTTTCCCCTTCCGAAGTCCACAAAACTCCGATTTCAGATCAGGAACTGCCAAGATGACACGAGCTGGAGTAACTAGATCTAAAATTTATTTCAAAATCAACAAAATTTTTGACGCAATCGCAAAGAGAAGCGCGGATTTTCGTACACCCAGCGTCATTGTAAAAAAAAAAAATTTGTTTTTGTCAGCTGTGTTGATGCATGGGTCAAAATTTTCAGCTTCCGTCTTGACAAGAAAGGGGGCATTAATCACAGGCTATATTTTCTTCTGCGAATACAGCATCGAGAAGCCCAGGATTTTTATCCTCCCCCAACTTTGAGTGATACTACGCATGAAGCCAAGTTGCGAAAGTTTGAAACCGCCTTCAGAGCAGAAGCACGGCTTGTTATTCTTTTCGATAGATTCTGTGCGAGAGTTCGTCGCGTCGCCCACAAGGGAAGAGAAGATTAATTCGGGTGCCTGAAGGGGTAATTGATGGATGGGACCAGAGGTTTTCTGTGGGTTCCCCGCAATCTTTTCGCTCTGAGGATGCGGAAGGAGGGGGCTTTTTCCGCCGTAAACCCGCCATGTTAAGCGACGACCTTCGTCGCAACAAAATAGCGCAAGTGGAAATAAGGAAAAATTTTTTAAAAATCTTTATTTTTTGAATGAACTTTCGAGGGAAAAACTTTTTTTCACTTTGTATACTTTGATATTCTCGTGATACCGTTTCATTCGGCCCTTTTTTTCTTTGCCATTTGATAAACCAAAAATACGCGATTGAAAGGCCGTGTAGCGGAACTGCGCCGAGTTTTTTGTGGTTCAGTATCTATGCGGGATTTAGTGGGCTTTGCCAAATTCTCTCTTCCGCTTTGTTACTTCGGGGAGACATGAACAGACATGATCTTATTTCCTTTATTCCGAGTAGGTATCGTACCTTTTCAGCATATCTTGGCAACCGTTGGCATCCAAAAACGAGTACCGCATTTCCGGAAAATAATAATCTGGTCAAAGATTAAGGCCTAGCACAAATTTTTAGCTATTATTCTGGGTTTCCATTATGCGACGGATTTCAAATAAAAAAAAAAACCTAGTCAGAATCTCTGGAAAATATTGCAAATTATGAGCTCGTGGCGTGAATTTTTCAATGACCAAAAAAGAGGTGAAATTTGAAAGCTTTTAAACAAAACCGTGCGCCCAAAACAATAAACCATTCGATGCTTTTGCCACAAGAATGAAGAGAAGAAGTTCTTACAACAGAAGAGCTTCTTATATTATTTGGTAAAACGCGATAGAATCTGTAAATTGCAGCTAAAATGCGTTAAGGGATATTTTGCTCTACAAAATCTTCAAGATGTATAGGGGAAAAAGAACCCAAATACAAGCGAAAGGGATTTGATTTGACAGCTTTTTATTCTCAAATCTTGGGATAGTTAATCTTTTCTCATAATTTGATTCCTGGGAAATGAGCAGGGTTTATTTTTATATATCCCTTATATTTTCAGCAAATTCTGGAAATGATTCAATTGAAGTGCCTCGCTAAAATTTTACGCTGTTAAAGTTCAATTATTTGAAACTAGTTAAAAATTGATCAATTATATGCAATAATGCATGAATATAGCGCACCGTTGAATACAACTATGTTGCTTTTTTTAAGTAGTGTAGATTTGTCCCAAACGAATAAAATGTCATTTGTATACGCAGCAATAATCTAAATAGTAGTTCGGTTGATCAGCCGTCATCCATTTGTCTCAGCATATTTTGAAAAGCGTTTTTTTTAGCCCAAACGAAAATAAAATCTTCTCTGAAGAAAGTTTCTTCGGGACGTCGTAAATTTCTTCTTGGAGGCAGTAGATTAGAATTCTAAAAGCTTACGAGTTCAATACTTCCGGAAAATTCAAGTTCTTTCGAAGCACTCTTACTCACAAACTGCGTTGAACCTCGAAGGACTTAAATTCAAAAAACTTTAAAGCCTCCCTCGTTTTCTTATTTGAAGAAAGGAAAGCTATGAAGAGTAAAGAACTCGAGTTTTTATAGCTCCCACGCTGACGAAGTTTACTCGACTTCCTTTCCATTCAATTCCGAGGAAACGATGCGTTTCTTTTCCAACCAGACATTGAATCGTTCTTTTTAAATTTAACTGCGTTGTCTTGCCTAATTTTCCATAAAATAAATTCAGTTTACTCATTTTTTGTCGAAAACACGTCTCTCTGCAATATATTTTTTTAAATATTAAAACGTGGTCCTTCGATCAAAATTATAAATGTCCAGCAGTTTCTTCGCCAGGTCGGTAATCAAAACAATCATCAAAACCAATTACTGGTGGACCAGGCTTCAAATATAATTTAAAAGCATAAATGATGGACAACGAATGATAATATTCGCCTTATGCGAAATTGCATCTTTTTTATGCAATTCTAATGAAGGAATCACGAGACAGTAATTGACATTTTTCAATGTGCGACTCTAAACTTTGTTTATTGCTCCTTTTTCAAACCCTACAGCTTATTTTTCGATCTAAACGGCTATTTCGAATTATGCTTCAATTGTTCTCTTGTCAATTGCGCAGAGGTGTGAAAATATATTTATAGTTTTCCAACTTGTAAATTAAGGTGCAGCTCTCTGACGTTTTGAAGTATGTTTTTTGCGTGATCATCATTGAAATAGTCGAATTGTCATTTTGATTCTCTTTGCAGACAATGTTTTTGGTTCAAGTACAGTTCCACTTTATTATAAAATGCGGTGTTGATTTCAGTGTTGTTCACTGCTCTCTTGTCCTATGATTAAAAATTATCAATGACAATGATTTGATGAATTTCAATAAACTGGTCATCAAAAATGCAGTAGATGAAGTAATGCCACCCTTCGCAGACATGGAGCAAAGTTGACGACAACAAAAAAGGTTGTTGGTAGTAAGGACCAACTGTTGCCTCTTAAATCCATTCTAAAAATTAGCTTTTCTCTAAAGAATTAACTATTTTATATTATGCGGAATATAAGCACCCCTTTTTTCAATTCCAGAAATTCAAAAACTAGGGGTTGCTTAAGTTCGCTTGTTTATGTAATTTGAGCAAATATGCGGCTATATATCCGGAAATATTTTGGTCTTTCGCTCAATAATCAATTGATTACTTCTTTTTTCAATGCTTTTGGTATTGAGGTTAAAAATTATCAAGAAATGATCAGCTTTTAGCGCTTCAAGATTCATCAATCATTGACTGAAGCGGTGGAACAAGGGCTGTGTGATGAATTTCCTACCCTTTATTGAGATAAACTGAATTCAGTTGGAAATTTTAGGTTCCTGGAAATTCGAAAATAATAATAAAAAGCCCGAAAGTACTACTGTACTACTGTACATTACTTTATTTCGCCCAATTATGAAATTTTAATTTTGTGCCTGATGCTTGCATTCAATCGGCGTAAAAACTGTAGGTATATTTTATACCTCGAATTGAGTGCTGCCAACAAAATTTTCAATTTGTGTTCCTCATCAGGAACGTTGGACTTCTAAATATGCAGCAGTAAACCGTTTCCGTTTCCCCCACCGTGTTCCAAAATATATAAAAATAAAAGAAAATAAGTATAGTAATTTAATTTTTACTGAAGGTACAGACGGAAAAGTCGAAAAAGGCAGTGCAATTTTTTTTATACAAGCGTATCTCTTTTCTGCACATGTGCATCACATTTAACGGCCCGTCGGAAACAAGCCGTAAATTTTACGGCTTGTTTCTGACGTTGTAGCTGTTTAAACGTTTTACGGCGTAAAACGCTTAAACAGCTGCAATTACCAAAATACTTCAGCTGGTCTTTCATATGTGTAAACAAGGCAGTTAGTCCGAGATGTAAACGATTTTTAGTTTCACTCCACGGATGTCGAAAAGCAGTTCCGTTATAAAACATTTCTTTTCCTCCGCTGAAAACGGTTTCATGAATGCTGTAGAATTTTTCGTCTGCTGCTGATTTTAAAATACAGTATTTTATTCAGTTCTGGCAATTCAGAGGGAAACATCTTTTCAAAATATAGCGGTGTAAGCTTTCTTCATCACGTCACGGGTCTTCCGAGGTTTCGAAAAAACTAGAAGAAAATGTTGGCGTTGAGAAAAAATGTCGTGGTAGATGAGGAAGAAAACGCCGAGGTGGGAAAAAAATAGCAAAGTATTTGGCATTGTTCTGCATTCCCTCGGTGTTTTTCGTGCGACCCGAAATTTCCGCATTATAAGGCCTTTTCAAAATATCAGCGTCAGAATAGAACTAAAGCAAAAGTTATTTTCAGTTGGCCTCACAGAAAAGAATATCTTGGGAACAAATACCGTACTTTGAAACAAGAAAACACATGGTGATTTTTTTTTACGCATTTATAAAAAATTATTCAGGATCCTCATTGTTTGGAATACTGCAGGTAGCAGCACTCGTCTCTCAACAACGCAATTCTTGCTACAATGCTTTTTTCTAGTCCCTTGAATTTCCTTTGAATTCTTTTACAAATTCTATCAAGTCTTTTTTGTTCGAAATTGTTTCTACGATGCATTTTCCTCGTCCCTCGAATTATGTTGTAGAGCAGTGTTCCCGAACCTGTGTTCCGCGGAATGGTGCCGGTCCAAGAAGTTTTTTGCCAGTCCACGAGAAATTTTGAAAAAAATAAATTCATCAAAAGTAGGGCTAAAATCTGTTATCATTACCTAACATTTTTGGAAGGACAATTGTATTCGACATTATCTGATGAAAATAAAAGTTGGCTTTTCCTCTCACACTTCAAAAAAATTATCACCTGCTGAAATACATTTTTTCAATTTTTCTTTCTGCCAAACATTCCTTCAAGCCCAAACTTTCTAATTTTTTGATGACATTCAGCTGATGTAGATGCTTCGTTGGGGTTAAATCAATTACAGTATTGCAACAAAAAAAGGCGAATTTTTAAATACCTGCCATGAAGTCTTTCAAGCAAAAATATTTTGAGATTACAAAATGTTTTATGAAACTTTGCCAGTCCGCAGAAATTTTTTGTGGACCAGCAACTTCGCAAAAAATTTTCTGCGGACAGCCAAAGTTTCATAAAAAATTTTGTAATCTCAAAATATTTTTGCTTGAAAGACTTCATGGCAGGTATTTGAAAATTTGCCGGTCTGCAAGCCCAAAAAGGTTGGGGTTCACTGTTGTAGAGAGCTGTTGTAGAGAGCCATATAACACGGGAAGGGAACCCTGTGAGACCAGGAAAAAAATTCGTTATACAGAGAATGTCGTTGAAGAAAACATCGTTGTATAGAGAGAGAGTCCACCTGTATCCGCGAATTTCTTGACCGTTTTAGAACTGGTTCTTCGTTTAAAGTATACAATACATAAATCGCACAAAAAAATGTAGACCGATCGCTGCTCAGTTTTTCCGGTTGAACTTGAATTCCAAGAACAATATGTAGTTGAATTTTTCTCGCTCACGAGTATCACGACAAAATTTTCTTACTAATCAACATAAAATGGACTGAGATTTACTGATGGGGTGATTCGGGAAGGAAAAGTCTCGAGAAAGTTGGGAAGCCTGCTTTCAAGGGTTCGGTTCGGTTGTTTATCGCTGAGCAGGGGCACATTATTTATTCAGCGGAAAGCCGAGCACTTTGAGGTAATCAATACAATGCTTCAATTCTGCCAACTTGCGCCTTGAGACCTGATGAGGGGCAACTTCTGACAGGCAAGTTTCTCCCCTTGGGGGAGAACAGAGCAACTTACATCCCATTCAGAATAGAGATGAATCCGGTGAATCCATTCAAGCTTCGAGGGGGTTCTTTCAAAACTTTAGCTGTATCTGTGATGTCTAAATATCAGTGTTCTCCAAACCTATGGTCCACGTGGACCACCCCTGGTCCTGCAGAAGTTTTTGGCTGATCTGCGGGAAATGTTCTCAAGCATAATAAATCCATCAGAGTAATCAATGAAGGATCTTTAGCTGGAATTTTTGCAAGACAATTGCAGTTGAAATTATCTCATGATAAATCGAAGTTGGATATTTTCAGAATGACACTTCTGACAACTTATTTTCACCTCATTATTTTTTTTTCAATTTTTCATTCTGAGAAGTTTTTCTCCAAGCCCACTTTTCTAATTTTTGAGGACATTTCCACTATATAGCTGCTTCATTGGTTATAAATTAATTTTTGTTGTAAAGAAGCAAAAACTTCATCAATACCTGCCATAGAGTATTACAGGCAAAACTTTTTGAGGGTGCAAAAATGTAACAAAACTTTGCCAATCATCCGCAGAAATTTGTTTTTAAAGTTTGTTGGTCTGTAAAATTTTTTAATGGAAATTCGCCAGTCTGCAGCAGGCTCAAAAAGTTTCGGGAACCCTGGTCTAAATATCTGTAAGTCACGGCATTTTTGTATATTTTAACCCTGGACGCGGTTTTCATTTTAGCAGGCAGACATTCTTTGATTCATATGACTGCATAAAAATAATAAGTAAACACACTCTAACCCGTCCAAAACCTCACAAAATTCACATGTACCAAAAACGTGCGTAATTCAACTCTCCTGCAAAATTGAACGATATTCTATTCCTAAACTTTAATCTGAACTCAAGCTGATTGAAATATCAAAATTATTTTAATTTCATTGAAAAAATTCATGCGATGCTAGGGATTTGTTGATTTGTTCGGAATGGCAGATAAGACTCCATCAGGGGAGACATTCGGTTTTTCATTGAGAAGAACCACTTTTAAGATTAAAAAAATACATAAAAATCCAAAAATATATTGTGTTCTCAAGGAAGGAATCACGATGCAACTTTTTCAAGCAAACATGTTTGATAATAAACCGACAGAGTTTCACGGAATTATTCGATTCCTTTGTATAAAAAGATCATTCAAAACTTATAAACGGAGACCAAAAAATTCAAAAATGAAGGGAATAATATTCGGGGGTGGGGAGAATGTATACAGTATCGAATGATATCGAGCAACTGTTTTTCAAAAGAAATGCGTTAAAAATGGCATCTGAAAACGTTATTATACTGAAGAAAAGTACTTGATGCGGAACACTGATGCATTACAATATTTAAAGCTAGGAAATGAAAACCCCGCTTTTGTGGAACAGCTAAAATGGATTAAAGCTTTCAGCTCGAGCGCTTTCATTCGGAGAATCGACCTCGAGTCCTTCGAGAAGATATTTTTTTATTTCTATTCTTTGCGCTGGTTTTCTTGAATGTTGCTGTCTTGATTTTAATCCACTTCTGGGAAGTCCCTTGATGATTACGAACCATTTACCAACTTCTCACCCAGGGCACATGAATCACATAAGGCGAGTGGTCGGTGTGGACCATATCGGGATCGGATCCGACTTCGATGGCATTGATTTGTGAGTCACTCACCTTATTCTTCTCGATTCAGGTTGATTTGAAAGATTTCTGTTCAGAAAATAGGTTTTCATTTGAACACTTCCAGGCTTGATTCGAAAAGAAAATTAATAGCCCTTTCGTGTATGGAGATCATTCTTGGACTGTAAAAGCATGCGGTCGAGTACGTTTGACCTCTTTTCCACTTGACATTTGGACCTAATTTTTTTGTCTTCTATTTTGAGGTTCGTCAGATTAAAAGGAATAATTTTAAATATTCCGTCCCACTGTTGCGAATCGAAAGTCTGAAAAGAATATTCCGTTTGAAAAGTTTGTAATTCCGTCTTCTGCTTTGTTTACAAAGCATAAAAACCTCGAAAAAGAACCACTTTTAAGATAAAAAAAAAATAGCATCATCGAAACCTATTAGTTGAACTTCTCGCTATAATGCTCAGGGAACCGGAAAAAAATTTCATTGGAGTAAAAATACTACTTTTTTTTCTACAGAAGCTACTCATACATCGACACGATAATATTTTTCAAATAAATTATTTAAAATCGTTGTCTTGAGCGAATATTTGTGGAAAGAGTTACTTTAACGTCTTCTGTTTCCCGCGCATCTTCAAGAGATATTCTCCTTCTCTTGAAGTAATTTTCAAAATCATAAATTACGGCTGGAGGACTTATCGGGACGTGCAATGACATCTTTATTTATTATTTTAATTCCGTTTTTTTTTCCTGCAGGGTACCAAGTGGTTTGGAGGACGTTTCCAAATATCCCCACCTTTTGGCAGAATTGTTGGCAGAGCCGGGTTGGACCGAGGAAGACGTGAAAAAGGTCGCCGGACTTAATTTCCTGCGAGTTTTCAAGAAAGTTGAACAAGTGAGGCAGATTTGATTTTGAGTTTTCATAGCAGTTGTTTCGGTAATAATTCAAGAAGTTCGATTACAAATTCCTCGATCATCACCCTTTGTTCTTCGTGAATCAAGATCTTTCCCATAAGACCTGAAAGATTGATCAGTTAAGACATCATGTATTCACGAATCTGTTCTGTGAAAGTAATCGTCGATTTCCCTCCTCTCCTCGATATCTTCAGTGTATCAACGAAGTGTAAGATCAATTGTGTTTCCAAAAATATATAAAAAGCTTAATCATGTTAATGTCCTCTTGATTTTCTAGATTTTGCAGGAATTACGCTTATGGGCAGGGTAAAGGTATTATACATTCACATGCAACCAAAAAAGAAAAGTTACGGATTAAACTGTTTTTTTAATATTTCGGAAGGTGAGGTACAGAACTATTTTGAGGAATTCTTGAAGGAAAATGTTTATATGGATAAGATCATGATGGAAACGCAATTTAGATTCAAACTAATTTTTATATCCTTGAGGAAATATATTCATGATTCAAATTAGATTCAAATTGAGTACCTGTGACTAATTTTTTTGCTGTGAGCATAACGTACGCTTGTACTGTACACCGCCGTGTCTAGAATATTGTAAGTTTTTACAGCACATTTTGAGGAAAATTATTCTGCCAATTTTCAGATAAGTACGGTTCCAGCTATAATGATTTCATTGCAAGACATCACCGAATGGTCTTTTGTTGGGTTAAACTGTTTTTATTTTTTAATTTTTGCTTCTCGGAAATCCCTAAATCGCTTCGAATAATTTTCTCCTGAATTTCCGAACAGAAATTGCTTTTGAATTACACACTAAGATAAACATTTTCCCGCAGTGTGACTTACTTGATGACAAGATGATCGCGAACATGTTGAAAAAAAATGTTCTTTCTGGGTCACGTTTTCGCATCGACTCATCGCAAATTCATTTGCAAATTACTCTGACGCAAGTAATTTACCGTTTCTATGCCCATGTGTGCTGCATTAGATAATCGTCTTTCCACGTCTCCAAGTGCAATAACCAAAGCAGGAAATCTCACGCAATGTGGTGAAATCGCGCAAGACTAATTTGAAGTCCCAGCACTCACATTTCCCACAGTTTTCAGCAGCGAAGAGTTGGTCGCCTAGATGCTTTCTGTGGGAATTTTGAGCAGATCAATTCCTGATGAACGCGATTATCTAGTTTTTGTTTTTTGTAAAAAGTCCCAGTTCTGAATATTTACGTCATTAGTGAGTAGAACATTTTTAGATGCGCGAGACATGAATTACCGTACTTTGGAATCTCGGTCCGAATGAAATGCCGCAACTCGTATCAAATCTGGGCATGGCAATTTTCGTCCAAAAATTTCATAGTGACGAATGTTTTTTTTTATGGTTTCATATTTTGAACCTAATAATAAAACAGTTTATAGCCGGAATCTAGAGATATTTCAGTTTAAAAACGAAATATTCTAGCCTTATTTTTCTGAAAATGTTTCTAAAAATAAACGCGATTTTCTCATTAGTCGTTGTATGAAATGTTGAATGAAAATGAATGAACCACTTGATTCAGTCGAATTATCCTCGTATAATAATTATTGCTGAGGTATTTTCATTTTTTTGTCTTTGTATTTATCTCCAAACATTCTGAGGTTCATATGCGGATCCGAGTTGCTTCGCAGTTTTTTCTGAAGTCCAATTTCTCCATCTATTTCGCAATCCATCATCATTTTTGTCATAATTTCATATTTTTCGCATTTTCTCCGTCGATTATACAATCTCTCCACTCATTTCCGGAATTCACATCTCTATCTTAAAAAATAGATCCTTTCCAAGGACGCACACAAAATCTCTTTCGGAGAACGCTTCATTGCGATTAGCAGCTTTGGGTTGAAATAAGGAATTAGGATGTCGTGTGCTGATTCATGACACAGCAAAAAGTAGTTAATAATTCAGTGCAGTGCTGGGTTTGACATCTCTTCTAATCTCATATGAAGAAAGTTTTGGATTAGCGCCGAGCAGCTTGTCGAGCATATTTTAAATCAGCTGATAAATGGAGATGTCTTCAGGCTAATGATTAGTCTTTCTTTTCATGAATGTAGATGGACATTGGAAAAGAAAGAGATGTGTCGATTGTTCACTAAATGTGTATCTTATCATCATTCATTCCATGTGATAAAATGTCACACAAAAAGAAATTCAAAAGACAAACTACAAACATTTTACGCAGTTTAGAATGAAGCAATAACAATTCGTATCTCCGTTTTATTATTATTATTTTGAAGTTTGCCCAATGCTTGAAATGTGATAAAATTTACTTCAGCATAACAGCATTAAAATTAGTTTGAATTCCATGCCTGGGAAAATTTCTTACAAATATGCAGCTGGCGATGAATTTCGATGAACAGTTTTTGGGAAGGGATTTTCAGCAATTTTGGCACACTAAATATTCTGTAGATTCTCTATGATGCACCAAACCAAGTCGGAAGATGGATTCTTCTGACACGAAGTATTTATCCAATACTGTATTTTGGGAATTCTGAATTCTATCATTTGAAAATTTTCAACAAACTTCGATTGTACTGTGATATCTTTCTCTGTGACTACGTCTCTCCAGCAAGCATTTCCTTTTTTACCGAGTCATTCTCTCTCCCGACGTTTTTTGACACCCCTCACGGAATTGGGCGCACTACTTTAGAAATCTTTGGGGAGTCAATTAAGCAAACACGTCACTTTCCTGCGTTTTTTTTAATTGCGTACACTCAACAACCTTTAAAAGTTTGTCCAACCAGTCTCAAATTCTCTGCGGCGCACAAGACCGGAAGAACTGCCGATTCTGCCCACGGACCTCGTCGGCCACTTGAACTGCACTTACCTCGGGGACTGAGCTGGACAGGGGGAAATTGGAACAAACACTTTGCGTCGAGACCATCGACGTCAACGTCGACGTCGACATCTTCGACGATGACCGACAGCCAAGCCCCCCGCACCCGGAACAATGCTCTGGCCTATACAGGGGTCGATCGGAAAACTCGAATTTTCCGCGAAATCTTTCGATCTCTCACGAGTGCTGTTCGTCGTCGTCGAGCATTCCCCGGGTTAAAGCAGTGAACAAAAATACTTTCCATGTCCCCCCATCAGTATTTTTCACCCCCTGAACACCCGACCCTGAATCAATACCCACGGGGTATAAGAAAGAAAGGAGGAAAAAAAAATAGAGAAGGTGCACAATGAGGAGGAACTTTCCGTGAGTGGAGAATCGAATTCGAAATCCCAAGTTTAACATGCATGCCATAACGAAAAGATCTTTCGAAGGTCTTCTTTCTTGATTCAACGCCCAAGTTTCCTGCAGCTGGATTCTAATATATGGGGAACTTCTTCATCATCTAAATAAAAGGAAAAACATCACTCGTATTATTCCCACGGAAAATTATTGCCAGTTTTCCGATTCCGGCAAAAATGGTTTCAAACGAAATTTTCGCGCTCTTCCTTTCGCATTTTTGTTTCGTTGTTAGTCTAATAAACTTTTGGCAGTTTGGATAAAGAAAGGCCGCGAGAAAAGGTCCCTTTTTTCATTCGGGTTGTTGAGAAATATGATACGTGTATTTTTACAGTGAATGATTCGTGAAATATAATAAATATCGCTGTTACCATGAATCTTACCTTGGCGTGTGTTTTTTATTTAATCTATTAAATAAAATCCTGCAAAAACGAACCGACAGATTTCGACTTGAAAAAAACCGTGCATGGATAAAAATTTTTTCATTTTTAGTAAGTAAATTTCTATTGGTGGATTTTCGAAGCCTACAAAATGCTGATTTCAATTGATTTTAAAAGTTTGGAGAAGAATAAGAGAAGTGATCGAGAAGTCCTCGCCTGGAAGATGTTTCCGCGCTGCACAGCAGTGATGCAAATGGAATTTTCAACAGATTTTAATTAAATGATATATGAATTTGATAAATATACGATACTGAATGCATACACTTTGCGTCGAGACCATCGACGTCAACGTCGACGTCGACATCTTCGACGATGACCGACAGCCAAGCCCCCCGCACCCGGAACAATGCTCTGGCCTATACAGGGGTCGATCGGAAAACTCGAATTCTCCGCGAAATCTTTCGATCTCTCACGAGTGCTGTTCGTCGTCGTCGAGCATTCCCCGGGTTAAAGCAGTGAACAAAAATACTTTCCATGTCCTCCCATCAGTATTTTTCACCCCCTGAACACCCGACCCTGAATCAATACCCACGGGGTATAAGAAAGAAAGGAGGAAAAAAAATAGAGAAGGTGCACAATGAGGAGGAACTTTCCGTGAGTGGAGAATCGAATTCGAAATCCCAAGTTTAACATGCATGCCATATCGAAAAGATCTTTCGAAGGTCTTTTTTCTTGATTCAACGCCCAAGTTTCCTGCAGCTGGATTTATGGGGAACTTCTTCATCATCTAAATAAAAGGAAAAACATCACTCGTATTATTCCCACGGAAAATTATTACCAGTTTTCCGATTCCGGCAAAAATGGTTTCAAACGAAATTTTCGCGCTCTTCCTTTCGCATTTTTGTTTCGTTGTTAGTCTAATAAACTTTTGGCAGTTTGGATTAAGAAAGGCCGCGAGAAAAGGTCCCTTTTTTCATTCGGGTTGTTGAGAAATATGATGCGTGTATTTTTACAGTGAATGATTCGTGAAATATAATAAATATCGCTGTTACCATGAATCTTACCTTGGCGTGTGTTTTTTATTTAATCTATTAAATAAAATTCTGCAAAAACGAACCGACAGATTTCGACTTGAAAAAAACCGTGCATGGATAAAATTTTTTTCATTTTTAGTAAGTAAATTTCTATTGGTGGATTTTCGAAGCCTACAAAATGCTGATTTCAATTGATTTTAAAAGTTTGGAGAAGAATAGCTCTTCACTAGCTCTTCAGGAGCGGACCTTCTACAAAGGCGCGACGTGTCGTCACTACGTTTACCTTAAAAGTTGTCTAAAATTAATTTACTATATACTTAAACTATTTATATGCTATGACTTACGTTCTGGATTACCGTAGGTGGTGAACACATTATCTGGCTTTTATATCGTACAGTAATTTTATGGGAAAGTGATGGGAAATTTTTCTGAATAATAACTTCAGTGCACCAAAAATACTTTGGCTAACATAGTTATCCAGCAACAGGATTTCAATTTGAAACAGCTTTTTCACTCAAGCAAGTTTTGCTCGGAAAATGATAGCCAAATAAAATCAGCTGCTTCGACCAGAAATCCGTTATATATAAATCTCAGTGGCATCTTGAATTTTACGGTAGGGGCAAGTGTATCGAAAATTTCAAGAAAATTGAATGCAGATCGAGATAAAATCATCAGGAGCGGTTCCATGAAGCCGTTATACCCAACGAAATGCAACCGATTTGAACCCACGGCGATTTTGCACAACCTTGGCGAGCAGATTACGAGTCCGAAGGACTCATCATCGTCGCCGCAAATCCCAAGCGAATCGCTCAAAGAATTTTGCCTTGGCCCAGCTTTGTTCCACTTCGACAAAGAAATTCAAGGCTGGCATTTTACGTCAACACAAATAAACATAAGTCTTCTTTGTATCGTCAAACGTTGCGTTTTGAGGTTGGGGGGAAGGGTGAGATGAGTCGGAAGGGAGGAGCAAGTTGGCGATGAGTTGTGCCAATCATGTGCAAGAACACATTTGCGAGGGCCAAGTTTCGACCTTCGAATTGCGAAAAAGAGAAATGATAACTTAGTAGCTGACGATCGAACATTGGATCATTTTCATGTTGGGTGACAAACTCTTCGGATCTTTCTGCGGGGAAAAGAAAGTTTTTTTTTATTCGGATCTTGAACTCGGCATATCGATTGGATAATTCGGCGTCGTATAGTGACATTGTGCAATTATCGATATTTTTAAAAATGGAATGCGCCTGTAGAATATTTTTTATCCTGCTTTATGTCCTTTTACTGTGTCATAAGTCGCTTGGTTTCGCGAAGAAAATTTCCTGTTTAACGGTTTTAGGTCCTTACTCAATTTATCACGCCGCTGATCGTTTATGCATCTATAAACTGTTCCTTGAAGGCTATTCTCGAAATAGAAAACATTAAATCAATGTTCGAAGCTTTAAAACTTGAACTGAGGGAATCTCGAATTGCTTCGACCGAAAATGTTATTCGAAATTTAAAAAATTTTTCTCATCCCTGATATCTCTCAACCCCATCGTATTGGATCAACGGTGAACAGTGCTCTTTCAGTTGAACCTGTTTGAAATATCAGCCTCATGTTTCGGAGTTGTAATAATTCATTTGAATGATCGGATGTCTTTTGATTCAATTTATTTCAGCTTCTCGCGCGAGCAATCCACGCGAGGAGAATGAAATTGGCAGTGATTTCCGTGTTTGCGTGTATCGCCGTCTTTGCCAGGTGTGTACATATGTGCTGATAGAAATCATCCGGAAGCAAAACAAAAAATTGGATGAATTTTTTAAGCCATGATGAGTCATTAATTCAGCATGTATGCAGACGAATTTAAAATTAGAGAATCACTTTCACATTTTATACCATGGACCAGATATGTTAGTTCAACACACATGTAGCAAATTCCGCTGTATTCAAAAACTGTATTAAATTCATCAGAAAATATAAGGTGGATTTCAACGCAAGGATTTCTCGTCGTGACTGTTGATGTTTCATCACTGCATAATAAACCAGAAATATGTTCAATTGATCACCTGAAAGTTATAAAAGTCTGAAATTACTCGTCTATTCATGAATCAGTTGTCAATAAAAATATTTTGTTTTCTTCCTTGGTCAGCGCGTCCAATTTCGACACAGAAGATGCTCATGTCCAAATAATCAGAAACATGCAAGCGGAAGAATCCTCCCTTGACGGATTGACAATGTCGGAAATTGCGAAAGAAATCATGAGAGAAACAAGAGCTGTTGGCTTCGAAATTTCAAAGTTTGTCAAACGATCCATAGCGCCTCTGAAATCACGCGTCCGTCGTTCGACTCATGAAAGTAAGAGACACTCGATATTTATCTCCGATTTTTCCCTCTTTTTTTTCAACTGACTGGAATTAAATTAAATCTTCCTGTCTCCCACAGATATTTCCATAGAAGACCTTCTGACACAAATCACTAGAATCGCGAACCCCGAAGAAGCAGAACGCCAATCCCGCCAGGACACCGGCGACGAAACCCTGACCAACGAAGTCGAGCCCAAGTCCAGCAGCAAGAAAAAGAAGAAGCCCTCGTCTGGTGGTAATGACGACGACGACGACAAGTCTTCATCTTCTGGATCTTCATCTGGTTTGGCGAGACCCATCCTGATCCCAGTCAAGGGTCCCAAGGGCCCACCAGGTCCCCCAGGGCTTCCGGGTCTCCCTGGGATTCCCGGCAAATCGCCGAGTCTCAAAGGCCTCAAGGCGATCCTGTTGGCCAAGTTGTCCAAGTTGCTGCTCCTCATCAAGGCCCTCGCCATTTTGTGCCTCGTCAAATTTGGCGCCTTGTTGGCTACCATTCTCGGATTAACCCTGCCACTTTACGGCAAATTGAAGAAGGCTGGTGTGTTGGTGCCAATTGAAGAACAAGCGCCGTATGCATCTTATGCACCAGTGACAGAAGCATACATAACTCACGCTCAGAACCAGGCTTACGGAGGCATTCAGGCCGGCGAAGCCAAATATGGACCCACTCAAACTGGCCCTTACTAAGTCACGAAATGGCCATTTTTCAACCCTTTCATTTTTATATTTATAAGTTATGAGTTCAGTCATATTAATTTATATTATTTTCACAACAATGAGGAAAAAGTTGTTTGCCCGTTATCAGTCAGTGCTTGTTTCTCACTTTCAAATTTCCTTTCATCCAGTCTCAAAGAACTTGCGTTTCATGATGCACATTTTTTCTCTCTGTGAAGGTTGACAATTTTTATTTTTTGATACCCCGGGGTCGAGACAACATGAAGTACGTTTTTCTTGGCCTCTTGGCCTTTGCCTTGATTGCAGGGTAAGTGATCAAAAGAGGAACATAAGTGTATTTGAATAACTATTTCAAACATGTTTTGATTTTTGTCTGGTCAGGTTGAATGCTGTTGACCCAGT